TCCCCCTTGTTTCAGCTGGGTTTTTTCCCATATGAAATCATCCTGGCAGCAGCACCTCTGCARCTGGAATTTTTTATTAAAAAACACTGGCACAGGTTGTGAAGAGAAGCGGTTGATTCACCATCCCTGGAAACAATCAAGGCCAGGTTAGATGGGGCTTTGAGCAACCTGATCTTTTTGATGATGTCCCTGTTCATGGCAAGGGGTTGAAACTTGATGACCTTTAATATTCCCTCCCAATACAAACAATTCTGTGTTTTTTATGAAATTGCAGAAGCCTTTTGTTGGCCAATGTGAAAATTTAAAGGTTGATGCAGAGCAGGCTGGGAAGGCTCCCACCTTTCCCTGAAAACCTGTGTATTGGTGCAGCTTCCAGCCGGTTCCTAAGGAAACAAAAGAGGTGTAACCAGGTGGTGTTTGGGGCCCCATTGTGGTGTTTGGGGATGCTGGGGAGCCCCAGAGCCTTGTGAGGTCCCTGCTCAGTTCCTGCACACCCTGACTGAGCCRAACCCCTGAGGTCAGCCCTGCTGCTCCAGCTTCTGATGGAGAGAGAGASAGCTGGATGTTYCTTGCCTGCCCTGTATTTGCAAAGRTTGAGGAGCAYCATTTCTCTTGCTTTTGAACCAAATGSAAAACCTCCTTGGAGACCCCCCTGAGTTTTGGCCATTATTTTCACTGTCCACACCCTCCTGCACCCAGAGAGCCCAGGGCTGAGGCAGGAGTATCATCACTTTTAACAAGTTGCTGAGGCCCTAGCAGAGTAATTTATCTCAACAGCAAAACCTGTCCAGTTTTTCCCGGTAATTCATTTAAAGTGGGAGGTTGATTCCATTCAGTGGAGCTGCCCTTCACCTCTTGGAGAGGCTTTGAACATCGCTGAGTGAAGTGGTTCTGGCACAAACCCTCCTCCTCCTCCTCCTCCTCGATCTGGCCTGACCCCTGCATCCCCCGGGGAATGCCACATCCCAGAGCTGTGTGATCCTCCCTCTCGAGGCTGATTAGCCAGAGCTGGAGGGTTCAGCGAGGTGAGAGCATCCTCGGCATCCTCTCSGTGACGTTTGATCGCCGGCGCCCGCCGCTGCTCCCAATTACCSTGCAAACGCTGCCTCCGGCTCGCAAACACTCTAAAAAATGAACTTTAACGAAAAGCCGCCTGCGTTGCCTTTCTTCAACCCTCTCTGCCGTATCAAAGCCTTTGAGAGTATCTGAGGACAACTTTTACAGCCGAGAAGGGCCCGTTCGAGCACCGGCTCGTTAGTGCTGCGGCTGTGCTGCGCAYGGAGCATCCATCAGCTCCACTTACCAGCAGCACTCCAAAATACCAGCAGCTCTGTTAGGCTGGGAAGTTACCTCTGAGGGAGCTTTTCAAGCAGAAAGGTCACCCAGCTCATCTGCTTCCAGGGGAGCTGATTAGAGCCGTCGCTTTTCGGGAGCCGCGGCGCCCCGCAGCCAGTTCATCCTTGGCTCTTTGTTCTCCCTTCTCTCACAGTAATGATCTCCAGCTCGGCAAAAAGGGCTCAGCAGGGGATGACAGCAGCACCACTTACTTAATAAATAACATTTGTGAACTGGCTCTACGGGCTGCAGCTTGGYGAGGGATCTGTTGGAGCATCAGGAGGGAAGATTGAGACAGAGAGAAGCTTTGGCTGCCCCATCCCTGGAAATGTCCAAAGACAGGCTGGATGGAGCTTGGAACAGCCTGGGATGGTGTCCATGAGCTCATCTCATTCCCTGCCCATGGAATGAGATGATCTTTAAGTTCTGAAGGATAAGCCTGGTTGTGTCTCCGTGATCTTCTCATTGAGAAGTCCACAATAAAAACATCACCTGGGGCGTTTYCCTGAGCAGGGATTCCAGCCTAAGGCCTGCCATGGGAAGGTCCCAAGTTTCTGGCAGTGCTGCTGTATTTCAAGGTGTATTTCTGCACTGGGGAGGTTTTGGGGCRGTTCTGCTCAGTTTCAGTGTATTTTCAAGGCCTGGCTGTGTTCTGGGCTCTAAGAGACCACAGCAGACCTGCAACAGCTGCTGCTGGAGCCAAGGTCCCTACAAAGGAGGAATCATCACCAATGTGTGCTTGCATTATAGTTAGGAAAAGCATTTGCACTGGGAAAACAGAAGGAATATCTTTAGTTATTACCTACAGCAATTTAACATGACTGTYAGAGACATCTGATGAAAATAATGCCAGAAACATTGAGCCTATCTCCCCCAAAACCAAAATGCATCACAGCATTAACCCTACTTTAATGGATTACCTCAAAAAAAGGCACAAAGTGGAGGAAAATTCTGAAAATAACACCTTTCATTTTTTTCCMCCCTTTCAAAACAACTCCTTGTTTCTCCAATACATTTATTTTGCATTATTATTTCTCATGTAACTGTGAAGAAATTAAATACTTGGAAACACAACAAAACATATAAATTTAACCAAATGTTTTGATTAATGCAAACSCGCTGGCATTTTCTTTTCCTGAATAATTTAAAAATTAGGCTGAGATAACCTATTTCTTGTCTGAGAAGCCTCTGTAAAAGGGAATGTTTGGTATTTTGCAGCTCTTCTGTTAAGTGGACTGGTGTCAGCATCTCATTCTTTTAATGCTTAGAACAATTTTAACCCACCCACACTTCAGCTCTGAATTATTTAGGAAAATATGTGTCTTTCTAGCTTTTCTAGTCTCTAAGCAAAGTGTCTGATTGTACTTGGTACTTCTTATCTGCAATAAAAATACTTTAATTAATAGTGAGAGTGTCCACAATATGCCTGATCCTTGAAGCAAAGTTGGGGCATATTTTGTCCTCCATCCCTCACTCTTGTATCATAAAAATGTGCAGGATTTATCCTGTATGGAAATAATCTGATCTTGAAAGGAAAATTAATGTAATTTCCATGAGTGATCACTTCTCTTTTTCAGCGGGTTTTGGTTAGGGATGACAATTCTTCCATAAGACTTCACTAAAACAGAGGGGAAAAAAARTAAATTATCTTTCTCTGAATGTTTTAAGGTGTCATTTTAATGAGTCTGCTTTTCTGTTACTGCAGGAACCATTAAAACACATTCACTGGGAGCAAAGAGAGTAAATATTGTCCCACAGGCAGAAGGAGGCAACCAGAGGCATGCAGAGAGAAATCTGCAGCTGTGTCCCCTGTCCCAGAGCAAACATTTCCTCCTAACCCACTGCAAGGTGGAACAGAGCTGCCTTCCTGAGCCATYCTTGGACTCAAACGGAGCCCTGAAGCTTTTGAGCACGTTATTAAAGAGTCGTAGAGGTGATCACAGGTACCCACAGTGAGGTCTGCACACAGACTGGATGGGGAGGAACCTGAAGAGGACAAAATTCCCACTCAGTTAATGCAGGCAGAGGTTTGGCAGTGAAAGGCTCGAGCTGTGTTCAGCACATGGTTCACTTGGGTTGGCTCCTGGGGGAATCAGCAGCTGCTCAGGCTCATCTCTCCTGGGAAAACTGCTCAGGAGAGGAGACACCAAACCCCCCCATGCTTCAGAGACATTCTGTCTTAAACTTCTGCCTCAGGGCTTTCTGCACGTTCTGGATCTTCTCCGTGATCACGGTGTCGCTGAGGTGATCCCCAAATTTCTGCTTCAGCAGCACCCTGATGATTTTGATGCAGCGCTCGTCCATCATGGGCTTGGCCTCGCGGAAGGTGTTGCCCCTGCGGCCYGTGATGGAGTGGCTCTGGATGTAGTCGGAGGTGAAGAGTTTGTAGAGCAGGGTCTTGCAGGCTGTGCTGATTTTCTGGTCGAACCTGATGGTCTCTTTGAGCTGCTCCTTGGTGTAGCCGTTGAAGAGCTCCACCACCTCGCACGGCTGCCGGTGGGGCTCCTCCTGGAAGGACAGGGATTCCAACCTCTGCACCTTCTTCTTCAGAGAGACGACATCCTGTTGGAGGTCCAGCACCATCCTCTCCAGCTGCTCGATCTTCTCTGCCCTGAAAAATTAAAGTGGGTGTTGTAAAGGTGAGAAAACACCTTGTCCTCACTGTGGATGTCACTCCTTCACCCACAAGCAGTGATTTCATCCCTTCAGCAAGCAGGGCCTGAGAATCAGCCTTTCCAGCTGTTCCTGGGTGAGGAGTGAGGCAGGAGGGGAAAATGACATGGCCTGGACTTTTCAGTAACTCAGGAATGTTGAGTTTAACCCTCAACTCCCTCTTGTCATGCATACAGGGAGACTTTGATGCTCAATTTCCTTCTCAGTTGTAAGGAAAGATAGAAAGCCTGTCCTGCAAGTCCCAGGACAAACATATTTGTGGTATTAAAAAATGGACTTGTGGGAAATGACAATACAAGAATGACAACTTCAATTTTTTGGCACCCATTTCTGTGCAAGAAAGCTGTCCCTAGCATCACTTTATCGCTGGATACTGGATCATCAAAGTAATGAACAATAAAACAGGGAACACACCACCRTGTTTTGATTGTTATAGGCAAGAGCTTTGTCATTTCTGCATTGTTTTAGAGCCTTCTTGCATCCCTAATTCCAAACCCCTACAATCAGAAACACCTGGYTCTGATTATAAAGAGACTCAGCAACTTTGGGGTTTAAAATTGCCCCACTTTGTCACCCAGCTGGGATCTCACTGCTTGCTCTTGTAGTGAGGAGAAAAACACAGTTAGGAACAAGTGCCTTCTTTTGTTAATTACCTTTCCATCTCACCAGGACTGAAATTTTTGTGAATCCTCTCAAAGCCATCCATCTCTTGCAAAGCATCAGTCTTTCGCTCTTCACGGCTGAAAAAAACAAGCAAGTTAAACACCACTGCCACAAACAGCTTTGTACTCATATTTATAATAATTCCTGAGGAGAATTATCTGTAACTCAAAGCAAAGTCAATTCTGCTTCCCTTTGCAATAAGAATAAAATGGATTGAGAGGAAGTATTAGGGGTYCTTCATGTGGACAAAYTCCTGTGCATCCTCTTCTGTRTGTGCCCACACAATCTCCTGTTATYTTCTGTGCTTTAGGTTTAACCTCCATGAGCATCTACTCACTGCCAGAGAATGGAGAAAGGGTGGACAGAAATCAATACAGGATGTGAAGCATCCAAGGTCCTCAGTGCACTTCAGGATTACCTGTTCAGACAGATGTGCTGCTGGCATGGGGACAGGATGCCATCTGACTTCCTCTTCATTGGAAGGGTGATGTAATCTGCAGCAGGGATGGGAGACAAACTGAAAAATCAGCTCTGGAAAAGGTCATTAATCCCTCTGTGTCCAGAGCAGATTATCTAAGAACTCCTGCTAGACTGCATGGCAACATGCTATTCCCTTTGCATAAACAGAGTGATCCAGACAGGCTTTCCAGGGCTCATCAGGGGGGATTTGTTATTAGAAAAAGGGGGCATCTCAAGGGCTTCTGGTCCCAGCACAAAAGAGATAGTGGGCAAAGCGAGCAGAGCAAACTTGTCTGTGGATGTTTCTGTCTGTCAGCAGGTAAATAACACACTAATGTATTTTCATAAGTGCATTTAATGTGTGTGTGTTAGTGGGTGGAAGAATAGGGAAATAGGCAAATCTGAGAAGGTTTGACTAATTGAGATACAAATGGGAATTTCAGTTATTCAGGCAGGCATTCATTTAGGTTGTCTTCTGGCTTGTGGGGAGAGAACTGCTAGCCAAGGAGACAGACCTGGTGCCTACAGAGCAGAGACCATGCACTATCCCACAGGTATCACACATCTCCCTTTAGACAGCTCTCCTGTGGGAGATCTCCCTGGTATAAARAACCTGAAGATGTCATCTCTGCCCTCCATAGCCCTAAGAAAAGCCCACACAGCCCCAGAGAAAAGCAGAGGTTTTCTGGCTGCTCTGCAGCTYCCCATCCCACCCTGCTATTCAGGACCAGGCAGCAGAGGCAGAACCCAAGGTTACCTCTGGCAGCTGGAGCAGCCCTGTCCTCTTCACCCTGGGAAGTGCCTGGCCCTGGCATGGCCATGGTGATGAAGGCAGATGGAGCTGTGAAGGCGCTGGCTGGGTGGGGAGGAGCTGCCAGGGAACGGGGGCTTCCTGCTGAGCCTCCCAGGACATGTCTGTCCTTGAGGATGGAGGAGTTGCTGGCATCGTGGGGCAGGCTGGCCTCAGCCACCCTCAGCAGTGGCTTTGCAGGATAGCTCCTGTCACTGGGGTATTTCCTGGATGCGTTCCCRTGGGTCCATTTGGGGAAGGTTTTCCTGGATTTTTTTGGTGGGGATGGCATCATGCTGTGGACAGCTGGTTCTTCTTCTGAAAGCAAGGCAGATACTCAGGATGTGCCACGGGGCATCAATGATTTGGATCTCCCCCCTCCCACTCAATGCTTGGTACCCTGATTGCAGTGATGTGAAATTTATGCTGATTATTATGGGGATTACCACATCCCCAGCATCCTCCCACCCAAAAAAACCCCTGGAAGTAGAAGGGTGCAATGTTCAAAACCCCTTACTCACTTAACTTCTCCAGGAGCTGTCGATCTTCCAGCAGCTTCTTCTCCAAAACATCTTTGTGCTCTGTAGGAAGAGAAGACGTTTCAGCACTGACCTCCTCAGAAGGTTGCTCCTGAGCAGYCCTGGATTGCAAACCCAGGCCAGGTGGGTGTCACTCACCACTGATGCCTTCCACCACACCCCAGTAGAGGCCACTGAAGCCGGGGCATCGGGCCAGGACCTGCTCCCCCACTGTGTAGAGGTGGAAGGGCTTGCGGGGCTCCTTGATGTTCTCCACACTGATGACCCGGCTGCCATCCGGCCAGCTGATGAGCACGTAGAGCTTGGCTGACATCAGGGCTGCCCACCTGGAGCACAGGGAGCAGAATGGGAGTGTCACCACAAGGGTTTGGGCTGTTCGTTGTTGGGAGTGCTCACAAACGGTGCTTTGCCTGCGGCAGCACAACCTGCAGATAGAAAATACYTGGCCCTGCATCTTCTCCATGCATTATTTCTCTTTTCCCGTTCCTGCCGTTCTGAGCTTGCCTCATCTTAAAGCTCGTCACTGGGAGGCTGTCTTGGGTCTGACTGCCCCAGGTGCCATCAGTGCATCCAAGTGTCATTTGAATTGAGAGCCATGTCCTGTCTCATCTGGGGTCAGGCAGGGCCAGCTCTCACAGCAGACACTTGGAGCAGACTCTGGATAAGCCCCTGAGCAGACACAGGCTGGTTCCTCTGCCCCATGAGCCATCACAGCTCAAATGGCTTCAACAGACCCACAGCAATTTGCTCGAGAGCAGGGCTGTGTCTGTGTAATATCCACACAGGCAGTGCAGAGAAGAGGCTCAAAAGGACCTGGGGGTATTCCAGGAAATTATCATTCCTTTGCTCAGTTATTTCCCCTGGTAAACATCAGAGTGCTTCAGTAAGGAGAACAGCAAATTCCCTTCATTTMACCCATGGGGAAACTGAGGCACAGACCAGGGACAGATATATCTAAGGCAGTCAAGCAACAAAGCTGCAAGGAGCTGGATCCTAAGTCCTGGCTCACTGCTGTGCCCACGGAGATACCTCTTTCTGCCCCTGGAGCTGCAGACTTCAACCACTGGAGAAACCACAGTGCCAGGCTGGTGTGATTTGCAAAACCTCCCGTGCCGAGGAGCAGCTGAGGAGATGAGGGTGGCTGAGCCCAGGAGGGGTTTCTTTCCTGCTTCCAACCAACACTTTATGGATAGGGACCAAATCAAGCAGAGACCACTGCCAGAGCTCCTAAAGGCCCTGGCAGAGCATCACCCCAGTCCTGCCTGCTCTGCTCAGCAGTGGGATTTGGAGAAGGGTTCTGGGGATGGGGTGAGCCCGTGCGCTGGGCACCATGGCTCAGAGAGAATGCCCACAATGTCCAAAGCTGAGCTGGGGCAGGGAGAGCTGGAGCACACACAAGACAGCAGGTAAGGCAGCTAAGACCCAAATTATTCCAGTTTCTTGTTTTGTCTCCAAACCCCAATAAAATTCCTGCCCTGGATTTGATTCCTCTCACTTGGAAGGTTCAAGTTCACCCTGGAGAACTTTCTCCTTCCCTGCCTCCACCACCATCAGCTGCAGCAAAGCTCCATGCAGGAGCTGTAGCTCTCCCCAAACCTGCCAGCCTGCCCTGCTGGCACAGTCTCACAYCTGGATTTCTCCAACCCTTTTCTCYGGCACTGATTTTTATCAGGAAACACCAAACATAAATGATCTGTGTGCCTGACCCCCCACATCCCCATCCCTGCGGCAGGCAGCTGCCCCCAGCCCTCTCCCAAACACAGGGAAGGCTACAGACCAGAAACTGGGAAAAATGCACAGCTGAGCCTTCTCCCTCCCAGAATCAGAGCTCCACATTCCAAACAGCAAACAGCCCCAACCCAAACAGCTCTCAGGAGGGATTTTCCTTTAACATTTAAAGAAAACACACTGATCTTCCTTCCCCGTTAACCACTTGCTCATTTACCCTTATGAATGCACCAAAACTACATGAACACACAAACAGAGAGAGAAAAAAAAAGAGAGAGATCACAAGCTGCTTCTTGCCTGGTTAGCACTGCTCCAGGTGTTGAGTCTTGCAAGATGCCTCCTGTCTCTGCAGGTCTCAGCTGCCTGCTCCAGGAGAGGAGGTGACCGGACACTTCTTTGCCTTGGGCTTGTCCCTTCACCACAGTTCCTTGTCAGGTCTCCTTTGTCTGGCTTGGAAAGCTCCCACCTGCTGTCCTCACTGCAAAGAAAAAAAAAAAAAGAGCTTTGGCTTTCTTTTCTCCTGGTTGTTTTGTTTCAGCATTATTATTCCTGTTATTTTCCCATATACATATATTATTCTTTTCCTTAGCTTGTTTCAGGTCTGTTTCTTACAGGGAGAGAGAGCAGAAGAGAAGAGAAAAAGCCTTGGGTTTTTTGGAGCATGAATAAACCTTGCATTTCCATGAGTTATTCATGAATAATTCATGAAAATGCATGATTAATTCAGGTTCATGAATTATTCAGGAATAATTCTCGAACATTCCTGGTTAATTCATGCTCACACAGCGAGTGAGTCAGGCTCTAGGGCTTGGAGAATTCCTTTCTCCCTGAGACAGAAGAAGAGAGGCTTAGAGAAGCTGCATTGTGCACTTGATGTTTACTGCCTCTTAGAAGAGAACATATTTTGGGCCCTTTTTGAAACAAGGACTTGAAGAGAATTGAAATGCCTGCAGCCTCCTGCCCACGGAGGAATAACACAGCACCAAAAGAAAAAAAAAAAAAAAAGAAAGAAAGAAATTGGACTTGCTCACAGAGGAAAGCCTGGCAGCAAGTTTTATTCCCTTTCAAAGCATCTTTCTCCCCCCGCCTCCAGATTTCTCCCTGGTTAAGATACATCTCACTGCTTCAGTTTTTACCTGCTGTGCAACAAAAAGGACCACGCACATGGGTTTCTGCTGGAGGAATCAAAGGGAATTCCCATGCCACATACCCATCTATCCCTCTGTGTATGTGTGTGCAGAGTCTCTTCTCCCAGGTAACAACCAACAGGACRAGAGGAAACAGCCTCAGGTTGCACCAGTGGAGGCTTAGATTAGATATAAAGGAAAATTTACACCAAAAGGGTTGTCCAGCCCTGGTGAAGATGCACTGGGTTCTCTGCACAAGCTGCCTACCCAACCAACCATCCCACCCCAACCACAGGATGAGGAGATGGAAGAGCAGTTAAGGAGTGACTCCAGACTGCCTGGTTTATCTCACTCAAAACCAGCACTGCAGGTTGTTGGGAGAAAGAGAGAATTCAGATGTTCAGTGACACYTTAGAAAAGGACCTTGATTAGATTCGCAGAGTAAGAAAAATTCCGTATCCCAGATTTGCAATATTTACAGCTAAAAAATACACCTGTCAGCCCAGGTAAAAACAGATGTTCAACAGAGAGCTGGTTGGGATTAGGTAAAAAGCAAATGTGAATAAAAAACCAGCAGTATGTGACTTCTGTGTAGYTCTGAATGATGTTGCTCAAGACTGAGAACGGCATAGTAATAAGAAATGGAAAAGCAATGACAAGGAAAAAGATAATGGAGACCCACAACAATGGAGATGAGATTGAATTCTGGTTTGATGCAGGATCTGATGCCAATAAAATCTGCCTGGGAAGCAGGCTGGCTTACACAAGCATTGTTTGCCTTCCTTTGAAGAGCAACAATATCCAAAACATAACAGATGAATAGTCYTGGGGTAGGGGGTGGTAATTCAACTGCAAACCACAGGAGAGGAAGGATTGCAGGAACCACAAGAGAATGACAAATTGTAGTCTCATCAAACAACAGAAAAGTCAAGTGCATGTGTATCAATATACAGTGTTTGTGTTGAATTATTCCAGGAAAATGCAAGYCTGAAGTGAATCCCAGGTGTTTGACTTCATGAAAATTAGCAAGTGCTGATTAGATTTCCCTCCCAGTCGGTGAATATGAAATCCCTGCGCAGATGCCTCAGTTCTGGCTGCAGTTGAGTTACTGTATTGAGGAACATCTCCTCTGCATCTCCCAGCTCGTGTCACCCTTGGAGCTGCACTCGCTGAGGTTTAGATTTCAGCCASGACTGAAGAGCAACAAAAACTCCTTTGTGATCTTACCCGGAGATACACCCGGGAGCAGCATTCAGCATGTCTGAGTGCTGCCCTGTCTTTATCAGAACAATCTTAATTGATGTTTGAAGGGGTTTGAAGGGGTTTAAAGGGTAAACACAGGTGGTTTTAATCCCCCTTTTCACTCAATCTCAGCAATGTTGCTCTTCTTTTGGCTGGGTTCAGCAGCCCAGACAGAGAATCCTGAAATRTTTTGGGTTAAAAAGGAAYTTAAARACCATCTCRTTCCACCCCTCTGCCTTCCACTAGACCAGGTTTCTCCAAGCCCTATCCAACGTGGCCTGGAACACCTCCAGGGATGGGGCAGCCCCAGATTCTCTGGGCAGCCCAGGGCCTCGCCACCCTCACAGGGAAGGGTTTAATCCCAATATCCCATCTAACTCTGTCCTCTCTGAGGCTGAAACCATTCCCCTTGTCCTGTCACTCCAGGCCCTTGTCCAAAATCCCTCTCCAGCTCACCTGGAGCACCTTTAGGCATTGAAAGAAGCTCAATTATCTCCTTGGAGCCTTCTCTTTTCCAAGCTGAACACTCCAGCTCTCTCAGCCTGTTTCCAGGGCAGAACCGCTCCAGCCCTCGGAGCATCTTCATGGCCTCCTCTGGAGCAGTTCCAGCAGTTCCACATCCTTCTGATGCACTTCACCATTTTCAGAGAGCAGAACAAAGTTCAGTAATCAAGAGACAAGAACTACACGGCTCGTTAGTTCCTATCAGCACAATGAAATGACACAGGAACCCTCAAGGCCTGGATCCCTCCTGTGGGGGAAAAAAGCGGCCCCACAAGCCCTGATTCTGAAACTCAGCCAATTATTGTGTATGACTGAGGCCTGGGAAAAGAAAGGGATGTTAACAGCCTACATGGAGGAGGAATGCCGCATCCTTGGCTGCTGTTGAGAAAAGCAGATTGGAATGTAGAAATGATAATGCAGGTGGCTGGAAATTATAAACATTACTGATACTGTAGCTTTTGCAAACTCACCAATTATGTTCTGATTACTAATTAAACAGCTGTCTCTTAACCAATGTATGTTTGACACTAATGTATACGCTGGTTGCTAAAGTGGATAAAAGAGGYTTGTCCCACAATAAAGTTCTTCTTTYTCTCTGTTTTTTTCACCCACTTTTTGTGTGGTTTTGTATCTATTCTTTTTTGTCGCTGTTTGGCCAGCAGCTACACCCTCCCACACCACAGGAGGGTTCAACATTGCCGGGGCAAACAGTGCACAG